GCGGGTTACCTAAGTAGGCCCTAGCAGCCCCGATGTACTACGACAAACAAGACCTGCTGTAGGTTTACCTTGCCTACGAATACGCCCAATGACTCTATCTTCTTTGGCCCTATGGCCTACGATGATTTTCCCTGGCCCGGCCTACGGGCATCACTATACTTTACACGACTAGTACATGTAACGTAGGTACGCTGCGGTGTAACCGCTTTAGATATTGCAACACAATACAAGAAATAAAAGCACCATAGATTCATATTTTGAAACTACGAAAAAGATATTACAAATAAATAGATACAAAGCACTACAATAATGCGAAATACAACCTCTCGCTCGCGGGGTCGAACCCATACGCTGTCCTTACGGGGGGTGACGTGGCAGCAGTCCCGCTGTTCATCTCGGGCATCCATGCCCGGTAGAGCATCTACGATGTTCGGTGACGTGCTACGATCGGAGGACTGCGGGTGACGGCGACTGACAGCAACGACCATCCTCGACGGCTGCGACGTGTAGACTGACTTGAACAGTGCGCGCCCGTACTCTGGCGCAGCTTCCAGCGTATTCGATGATTGTGCGCGCCAGGACCCGCGCGCACCCGACCAGTGTGTCCCTTTTAAGTTAAGTCGTACGGAAGTCACGACAGGACCACCACTGCCAGTCGGCGCATTTTGCTCCTTCTGGGAGAGTGGTGCTGGGCAAAGCCCGACGCCGCACTCGGCAAGTCGAAAATCGTCCGATAAGAGTGTTGATACATCATACCTCTATACCCAAAAGCGCTATCGGCCGCAGGCTATATTCAGGCCAGCAGGGTGGCTTCTCGTCGCCGACGATGACCTGCCATAAGGAGGACGTGGATATTGTTGCAAACAAACATGCTTACACAAATATGCTGTAATGTAGATATGTTTTAAAGGGGAGTGACAGCGCTGGAACCCTGACTAGAGCGCGGTCATTATTTCATGTGTTGTCATATGATGCGAGTTTGTAGCCAGGGCAAAGGAGCCTTCGGCCCTGAAGCTGAGAAAGCCCAGGCCAACAGCGGCCTGGGTCGGTGTTCTCGAACACCCTTCCTTGGATTGGTCCCTGACGCCCAGAAAGCGGAGGCTAGTCTTGCGAGAAACAGCATGACCCCAGGGAGGGATCCTGATGGCAAAAGACCACTCGCCGCTTTGAACCGTCTTAATGCCTGTCTGATTGGAAGGTTGGGACGGCAACTGCTCCCGGATCACGACATTTAGAAAAGAATGGTCTCAAAACATACCACACATTAAATAGCTTGATAGACATGCTGCTTGCAATCTCCTTCATGTATGGGTAATTTTAAGGGATCGTAGGCTTATCGAAACGATGTGCTCCAAGGAAGGATCTTATTGCTACAGTGTGTATGACGTGAAGGCGGTTCAGTAAGTTTGCCCTTGTTGTAACCACTTTTTTCTAACTGATAACTCCAATCGGTCTGCAAATGTCAATCTGCTCGGAAAATGGAGTAACCAACTCTAAGAAATCTAGTCAAAATATAATTATGAAATTCTGCTCAAAGTAGAAGTGTTTTTTCATTTACTTCACCATTTCCCATTGCCGGAATGAGACCAATTTGGTCGCCCGTTCTTTGGCCCGTTTCCTTAACTTGGCTGGGCTCTTGTTTGCCGACATACCCGAGTCGAAGTGATGATTTAATGAGGCGAAAAACATGAGAAGGCCCTCACTAAATATCAAGCCGTTTATCACCAAAGCACCGTGAAGTTGCTTGTTGAGATCTTCTCTGTAACAGTTCCACCAAGTAAGAGAAGGCTGAGCTAGCCACTGACCTAAGAAGTCACCATGACGCTTCTTCAGAGCCATTCAAGCTTTGTGATTTTCGCTTGAACTTAATCGTGGTCGCCATTAAACAGAGCTTTGTAAGTTGTAACAAAGAATATGATATACATTGCATGGCACACTCTAGTAGAAAAGCGGCTTACTTTCATTTCATAAAAAAAGGCTAAAAAATGAGGGGTATGATCCGCTCTGCTGATGTCAACTTTTCCCGATTAAACGCTTTGACGTCGCAACGACGTCCTAAACCGTACACTTTCAGTGAGAAAACTTTTCCGGAACTATCTGATTCCGTAAGTTCGAAAAGCCTTTTGCTTTGTTGAGTTTCTGGACTCAGTATAGATCGTAGTTCTGGGAATGAAGTTTTGTTGTTGCTTAAGCATAGTCGCTAAAGCAAAACTGTTGTGAGAAATATCCTGTATCCATAAGTCAGAGAAAGATTCTTCTGTTTTTTAGGAATGTTGTCAGCGTGCCTCATATACAATTTTATGTGAAATGAGATGATTCATTCTGTAAATCCGTAATTGATCGCTCTGCTTACTTTTGGGGGTCCTTTGTTTTTGTGAAAAATTGCGAAAGTTCATTTCAACCCCTCGTCCTTATTCCGACGCGAAGATTTCGCCTCATTGCTGGGAACCCGTAGTGAAGTTCCATTAGTGACTGTATTTCTATTATTTTGTTCTTACTACATTCGAAGGGAGTATTTTCAGATTATTCCCCATTGAGAGGTCCAGTCAGTCGATTAATAAAGATTTGTTTACCGCGTGGCAGCTTCGATGTATTTTGTGTTATTCCATCTGACCTCTTCACCTCGAATGCTTGGTCGGGGATATGTTCACAATTTCAAGTCTGCGTGCAACGTGTCGAGCCAGCGCTTTTCGGGCGTCCTTAGGCCGCTTTCACGTCAAGGTTGAGAGCTGATCTTACGGACACTGTCATCTTTCGCGCGAAGAACATGACCGTACCATCGAAGACGGGCTTCGCGCATCTTGTCGACAATCTAAGCTCAATAGCAACAATCGGAGCTAACCAATCGCTCTCTGAGGACACCGATCCGAATGTGGTCTAATAGTGTTAGTCCGGCTGCTCAACGCAACTCACACTGAGAGGGGCTTGGACTTCTTCAGCTGCAGCCAGCACTCAACACTGTGAATCGCGACCGGCCCAATGACGTCCTGTAGATTTAGATTTTCCAGCTATTCCCGTAAGGCTGGGAAACACAAAATAGTTACATCCAGTTTGAAGGGAACCTTCTCAATAGTAATGTGCGCGAGTGATGCAATCAAAACTCGGAGCTAATCCTTGGCAACGTTCGACAACCGATCATCACCCTCACCATCTTCAAGGCTCTCGTTTTTATAGTTAGAATTTTTTGAATTACTCTTCAGATCATATCTATTACAAATTTGTACCAAGTGCATTAATATCTTGATCTGCTTCCGCTCTTTTCAGGCTTATTCCTAACTAGAAAAGAAGAATCATGCGAATTTGCTCGTTGGGTCGACCCTATCCAAGGTTTTGAAAAACTTATAGGAAATTGTTCTGGAATGAGGTGACTCCACTGTTAGTTGGTTGGGGCAAGGGGCAAGGGAAAAAACTATGTTCATAACGTTGAGAATTTCCTTTGCATTCGAAGAATAAAGCATAAGTGAGGTGTCAAAAAACGACAGAACTCACTAAAAGACCTAACACTTATAAAAAAAGGTTTGTAGCGGAGAAAGTGAAGATGTGCTTCGAGCGTTTGTGCACAGCAATCGTTCTATTGGTATGGAATCGGCTCTGCTTCTACACGCTCCTAAAGGTTAGTGTTCGATTTCCATGCCATTCAGTCACTAAAATTGCACTTACATGTAATGGGAGCATATTCTGCAGGCGCAGAATTCGACTCATCTGACACGAAGAAGTGGCGCGTCAATCATCACACTATCCCTGGTGGCTATGTGAGATGCTTTTAACTTTGACGATTTGAGGATTATGCCCCTTTTTTGAAATATGCTGAGTGCAAAGCTTTCGGAAAGTGGGTGTCAGTCTTCAATTCATGAGCATCCTTACAGTGGTTGCTGTAAAATCATATTATTAAGAAATCCTGAAGCTTTGTAAACTGACTGGTGACATCGCATCTACTCCCAGTACTCTTCCATAGCCGTATACAGCAGGTCTTAGGCTTACTTGGGCCACAGCAGTCGCGTCTGTACCCGACTGATGATGCATCCTCAATGGTCGAATATAGGGGACTAACGACAAGTGCCCGCACTCCTAACGGACAACCTGATCGCCAGCCAACTCGCTGACCTGCTCGCTCGTCATGGCTGTTATAATGCCTCGTGAACAGCTCTCCATACGCACACATTTAATAACTACCTCTTCGAATCATTTCTACAGAGAACCAAACAGGCGTAAGGGGGAGCGCTTGCCATTCACTCACGGCGTGTTTCCTAATAGTGAGTGTTATTTCGGGGCCTGGCTTTTGAACGCACGCTCCGGGATTAGGCGCGCTCGCCTGTTCCATCCCGGGGTAGTAGCAGGCGGACAAGCGTTGATGTCGCGCCCCTTTTGCCGCTTGAAAGTGCGCGACAAAGGCGCAAGGAGCTCGTCCGACCCGCAACTCACACCTTCGTCCGCAAGCCCCACCCTCCGCTGTCGGTTGCCACGTGGCGCTGCTTGAAAAGCGCGGGAGGCAGCGGTCCCATTGCGACCCAATGTCATTGGCACTGGAGCAACTAGAGTTAGGTTCGTGAAACTCGTCCAACGCGCCCCTTCTCTATCCCAAGGTGGAATGCGGCTGAAATAGGGGAGGTCTCTGTACGGGGCGTAATCGGTGGTTTCGTTTGCTTTCCTTCTCTTTTCCACCACCTCCCACCTCTAGCTTCATAACTGAACGCTTTTCATACTATTATATCTTGCCCTTAATATGACGTTGTACAGAGATCGCCTGAGAGTTGCGAATCAAAGTCATTTTTTTGCAATCTCTGTCTAGTCAGAAGTCTTTCGTAAGATTTTCGACCACGCGATCAAATTCATGTATATTATTATTTCGCAGAAAAACGAAAGCAGCACTGCAGGTTGGAGCGCTAGTGGAAAAAGAAACAATTCCTCAGAAGGACTGAGAATAACATATATCTTTATATAGGCCATAGAGGAGTATGAGAGGCAGGCAGCGAGATAAGACATACTAGCCGTCGAGAGGAGAAAAAGCGAGAAAAAGATCGCAGAGCAATGACACCAATGAGCGTAGACGCTGCCGGCCAGGACTGTGTGCTATTGTCTCCGATCGTGTGCTGCATAGTGCCCCTTAGCATCCATAAGCTTTAGCGCCTCTGCTTTGTGACTTTCTGCGTCAGTTCTTGTGCATGCGAACAGCTCTACCCTCCTCGGACTACCTCTCGTTCCAGTGAATTTATCGGAGTATGCCTTCAAGCCCTACTCATGAAACATGGACCTGTTTCAGTACAACGTACCAAATTTTTAAGTGAATATGTTTCGCCTAGACTCCTTCTATTATGCTGGCCGGAATATTTCTCATGTCGTCTCTATCGTTAGATTCTCGCGACCATGGAAAACAAGTTCTTTCAATAGGACTTGGAGGAGGAAGTGTTGACATGGTTCTGTCATCGATTAAACCTGAGGTTAGTCATATCGACATGATTCAAGTTGAAAATTGCTTACTACCTAGTGCGCATCTTTAGCATAACCTAATTGCGCTACATTTCAATTTCCCTCTAAGCGAGCAGAGGCAACAAGAATCAGAATTACATCAGTACGCCCCCCCCCTACCGTACCCTGGCGCGGTCGAATATGCGAGCCTGCTGCGACAACACTTTCGCACTAGCCGACGTCAACGCTTCGAATTTTTCATAACACCGTTTATTTGATGCTGCTGAGATTAGTTCATTGTGAACCACGCGCCGTCGCGACGTCTGTTTTTCAGTGTCTTCAGTCGGAAGCAGCGTTGCTGAAACTGCCACGCGGGTAGATGGTACCTACTTTAGTACTCTGAGCTGTGGTCTAGTCTATATCTTGAGATTCTCGTGAGAGAAACTTATTATGATGGTAGAGATGACAGAAACGGGTTTGGAAATATCCTATGTTAAAAACATCAAAAAACATCTGGAGATTCAGGGTGGTTCATGAACTAATATCGACTTAAAGAGCTCACCGCACCTTTTGGGACCTTTAGGGCCCCATAACCTCATCAAGACCTTACCCTCACAAGCGAGAGGTGTCGTGGTCTCGATGAGGGACTAGGGATCCTAGCCGGCGTCCACCATACACGAACTCCTACCTGGACCGCTGCGGGTCCTCACCGTAATCATGCCTGAAAACCACAGCACTATAATACCACAAAAGTACAATGAGGCAAAGAACTATACGCAAGAATAACACAGAAGTATTCACTATGAAAACTGCTCATCACTCGTCGACTCCCCGTGGGTCGCTTCATTACGGGTTCCGTTCTGCGTTGCATACGTATTAGGCACCATCCTAGCTCGGGTACAAGCCTCGGGAGTTCCATTTGGCTGAAGGGTTCCAACAAGGGCTGCTCCCAGACGGGAAGCAGGGGAGAGACACTAGCCGGCTTACGACGGGCGTTCCGTCTCCCTGAAGCCTAAGGGAAGACGTTCGCTTCTCGCCCTGGACCAACCTCCTCGCCTTGCCCTGTGAAAACAGACCACCCACCGGCTGCTAGTCACGTCGGATTGGCTACTGGCCTCGACTGTGAGGGTGTGCCAACGGCTCAATGGGCTGACCGCGCAATGCGCAGTTGAGCTCGCATTGCGCGGTTAGCCCTTTGAGCCGTTGCGCGGTTAGCCCAGTTAGCCTCAACTGACCCGGGGCTCGCGGTGCGCTAGGAGCAACAGTCGCATCTGCGACATGCGGTGCCACCATATCGGTTGCGTCCTAGTGTTAGATCCTTGTACTGAGGCATTGTATGCGGTAAATGCAGGGCTAATATGATAGTGTAGTAAATTATTATTGACTGTTGGGACGAGATGAAGCGTGGAAAGAACTTTGTAATGTGGACAGCTGCGTAGTCATCAACTTCAACTTTTATAGCGGCACACTGTGTGCGAGATAATTCACCTCATGTTTCATGCCTGCAACTTTTTGTGAGAATTAACGGAATTGAGCTTTGCTAAGTTACCAGTCTTTTTGGATCGCACGCAGCGTTTGGTTGAGAAATTAACTAAACACTTTAATCGATATGGACTTCTCCGCCTTTAATTTGATCGCACTGTAGATTTGGTGGAGCTAGTGTTCCGTTCAAGGTTAACGTAACAGTGGTCGAACTCGATTCGTTGGTTGTGACGCTTGCTTCCAAATGGTTTGGCGTCACGGAGTCTATTCATCACCACACTGTCGTCCAAAATGGCGTCAACTTCCTAGAGAAAGCAACGGAGAGAGGTTAGAACTTACACTATGGCAGTGGTGTTAAGATTGCGGGATAATCGTGCTCAACATTCCATCCAACTTACTTTAAAAATAATTCTTCATTTCAAATAGATTATTACTGTGATTACGATTCTAATTCATATAGGCATGAAATATTCTGCTGTGGTGTTGGACGCTTGTGGTAATGACGATTTCAAGTGTCCCGTAAAAGCTTTCCGTACAGCTTATGCCGTGAAGATGTTGAAGGAAGTGTTAAGAGAAACAGGTCGCATTGAAAATGAGACTTCTTAATTTTTATTTGAAAACTGATTTTACCGGTTCACACGCTATAATAATTGAGAAATCTATGAATGAATAACTTAAATTAGGTACGCTCGTCATTAACACCGTGACAACAAAGGACAAGGACACCGATTGCGTGAAGGTGTGTCTCACAATTACTACCACCGATAGTATCCATATTCACTTTTCGGTGAATCTTGGCAGTGCAAGAATTACTTTCGATTTGTTAAGCCGCAACCAAGATGTCAGTAACCGGCGCTATCGCAACATGCAGGGGCATTTCGCGTGAGCATTTTTGACCGTTTCCGCTGTTCTCCCTTTCTTTGGCATGTCAGAGGATTGGCTCAGTTTCTTGGCGATAGGCCCAAAAAGATTAGATGTAACAAATCATAAAAAACCGAGCAATGACAGGATGAGTCGCGCACCTGGGTCGAAGTACGTCTAAGCGTTTAAAGCATAGTCGGGCGTATGCGGTATGTACGGACTTGACCACAATGAGTCAGTGTTAGGACAAAATGCGCGGATAATTTGCGACAGCCCAGTACTTCTATCGGCTGAAAGTTAGGCCTTTTCTGCCCTTCCAAGGCCTGAAACCAAGATAGGTGCAAATTACTCTGCCTACCCAAGCATTCAAAACCTTGTAGGATTTCTGGACCATGTCGGCTAAAGGACTCGCAAATCACAAACTTGATACATTAGAAACTGGATCGGTTGGTCCCAAGACATGTACTCTGAGCTCAGGGGGCGGCTTAATCCCGAGTGTCAAGTATGAAGCATCTCCCTTTTGCTGAGACTGGGCGTGATGGATGTTCCACAAAACTAAACGAAGGATGCTTTCATAGAAGGCCAAGACGGCTCATCAGGTTACGATAGAGATCTTCTGAAGATGAATTTGCATGCTAGGTTCCAGGCTTTGCTTTTTGTTGTTGACTGTTCCCATAGATTTTGCCTCCTTTCCTGTATTGTCTGCTTTCATGTTGCTTTTGTTAATTCCTTTAGTGTACAAATTGTCTTATTTTCGGGTTTTCTAAGTCCTATCTCGTGAGAGCAAGGTAGCCCGGTTATTTTGAGTGTCTGCGTGAATAATCAAGATGCGTTTTCAGTTCAAAGAGCTGCTTCTGTCTACTTTCAAAACTTGTGTGGAAATTCAGGCATGCTTCTCGGTAAGTACCTCGGTTACTTATTTTATTTCCCTTGTGCGGCATTTCAAGTACGAAATCGGCAGCAGGACTAGTTAATGTCCGACCCGAGGACGCGAAGGCTGTGGGTTTGACCGACACTAGTACGACCAGCGTCTCCTTCTTGGATCTGGGTAAGCAGCGCAATTGTCACTCCCACTGCCCGCCCGTTCCAAAAATGCCAGCTCGTTTTGAATGGACAAAATTGCTTGCGCATACTGTTCCCATAGATTTCGCCTCTTTCCTGTATTGTCTGCTTTCATGTTGCTTTTGCTAATTCCTTTAGTGCACAAAATTGATCTTCATTTTCGGTTTTTTCGAGTCCAGTTCTCGTGGAGAGCACGTGCGCACGTAGCACAGTATTTTTCTGAGTGTACTCTGAATAATCAAGATGCAGTTTCAGTTCAAACAGCTGCTTCTGTCTACTTTCAAAACTTGTGTGGAAATTCACGCGTGCTTCTCGGTAAGTACCTCGGTTCCTTATTTTATTTCCCTTGTGCGGCATTTCAAGTACGAAACCTATCTGCCAGACAGGACTAGTACTAAATGTCCGACCCCAGAAGGACGAAAGGCTTGGTTGACCCGAACTACGTACGACCCGCGATCTCCTTCTTGGACTGGTAAGCCATCGTCACTCACCACTGCCGCGTTCAAAAATGCCGCCGTTCCTTAATGAAACCAAAATGCATGGCGCATACAACAAAGGAACAGAGCAACGTCGTAGTTTCATCTATTTTTTACCCTTTATTCCCTCATGTCGCTCAGTATTTTTTGAGATGTGTCCATGTTCGTGAGAAATTCGGCTGGAGCCTATTTCACTTTATAGTCTCACTTCAATTGAAGTCTTAGTTTACCTATTTCTAATCACTACCACAAATTTAACATTAGCTTAGAGGGATCTTACATTTTTGACACGCCTCTTCATTTTTGTGTGAAACCAGCTCTCTTGATTCGTGCTCTTCACCCACATCTCCAGCTTTTTCATGGGCGGAACTCACGGCTTACACGAGCTAGACTGGCACCTATGAAATACACCCTCTGTTTCAAAACCAGAAGCCATTCGAGTGCAGACCACACACCACAAGTGACGACGGCTTCCACAA